CTCAAAGTTTGATGCAAAAACGCATGATCGCATCGGCTCGCCTGGTGCGTTCCAGCCTGGGTTTATTTTAAATCTCCTCAAGCACTGATATCTTTGTATGCAAGTATGTTAACGTTCCACTTCAAGAAGATTTTGGCTGTGAAAGCAGTGTGTGACATGTGCATACCCGTAGCTTCGGTTTTTTGTCCCTCCAAAATTTCAAAAAAAAATAAAAAATCGAAAATTGTACACAGTTGTGATTACCTCATCGATCCCTTCAAAAACACAAACGACTGCCTATCGCGCGGTCGAATTGAGTCAAGTTTTAGCACCTGCCTCGTTAATGCGCGCTTTGAATCCAATTACCAGAACTTGAAAACAGTAGTTTTGCTTTCAAGTAGCAGTCCTGTGGTACTTATTCCGTAAAGAGTAAAAAATTGAGCTGGAATTACGTCAGCAAGCACTGCTTAAGAGTGTTTCGAAATAAGGAATCTTGTACTCTGTGAAATTTTTGAAATTTTGAAATTTTCTGCTAAAAGGCAGCTCGCGCATACGGATAAAAAAAATTGGGAAAAAATTACCCGCATATGGAACCGTAACGAAAGACGAAATTGAGGGGAAGAATTGATATCCTTAGCGCAAACAGAAATGTGAGTAGCACAAACGCGCCATGTGCAGCTGGTATGCCCATTTTTGCAGATAATCCGAAAATAATAACTGTAACATTTTCATTCTCCTCGTACGCACCCTGAAGACCACAAATCGTGTTTTTTTCTTACCGATGCTTTTTGTATTTTCTGGAAATCAAATAAACGACAGAATGCATCAGAGGTTTATGTACTCGCGTTATCCTGTGCTGCAAACGTACAAGCTTACGTACGTAAGAGGTGCTTGTACAGTGTCACACTGACATGGAGCAAATTGTTTGCACGTGTTGATGTGGATACATGCATATGTGTATGGGCATGTGCGTGTGTGGATGTGTGCAGAACAGCCAAAAAGAATTGCGCCGCACTGTCGAAACGACGTTGAGATAGAAATGATACTGATATTTTCCAGCCTAAGGCTCGCCTGTATAGTGCACAGAAATCACACCTCTTCAATTTCCACGGGGTAGCAAACAAAACCCAGACAAAGCCGGTATATCGCAAGTTGGAAAGTCTGACGTCGTCACAAAGGACAAACGCTGCTTCTCGGGACATCTGGAGGCCGTGCGACTGTCCAACCAGTCCCATTAATCACCAGTTTCCAAAAGCGAATTCAGTGATTACATATCCGCTGCATCATCAATTTATATTTTCATTTAATACCGAACTGTCGACTATCCCGTCCACTACACCATGACGACTTTTTTGCCAGATTTATCGCTGAGACCTCAAAACCTTGGATCATTTGCTTGATCAGTTGTGGAAGAATAAACTCAGATTCGTAAATTGTTAACATATAAATACGACTTACGAGTTGTACAAAAGTCAGATTGAAGCATTCGATGAGCTGAAGTATTGCATGCATCGCAATGCACCATCGATTCTTCAGCAGCTCGACATTTTTCGTTTTTAAGCACACGTAGAAAACTAGCAGATTAGCAGTGGTACCAAGAATGAATGTTGCCCAATTATTGGCAACAAGCGTTACTTCTAATATTAGCAACATAACTGTTACTGTTGATCAAGTAGCATTTCGCGTTCACTTCACCTACATAATTACGAAAGAACACTTTTTGATAATTTTGTTAGGTGGGAATTTTTTGACCGTAGTTTTCTAGTCGCATAATTATTAGATGCTAAGAGATTTATCAGACTGTC